CCTCCTCCCCAAATCTATTACTAAAATGAACTAAACATGCTTAATTTCAACTTACCCCCATATTTACGCAATTTTCACTCTAATTTATGGAAAGCCATAAGGAAACAAGGACCTTATATATCGAGGAGTTTTCTTTAACAACAACATCAAGCCTTTATCCCACTACGTGGGGTCGGCTACATGAATCCTTTTTCTCCATGAGTTTTCTTTGAGAGAAAAAAATAATAAAATGTGTGCTTGTTGGTTACACCATTTCACAATTGGTCTTCTATGTTATTCTTCTAAACATGTTGAAGTGCCTATGGAAGCTCAAACGTATAGAGATACCTTAGATCTCATAACCATCTCTGTAAGTTTTTTTCTTGTTCATTTTTAGTTGTATGGAGGATTATGAGATGGTTTAGAATGGTGGCCAGTGGTTCTTCAATGGTAAGTTGGTTATTTTTATGAAATGGATTTGGGATATGAAGCATGTGAATGGCGATTTTATGGATATCATCTCTAGCTTAGACTCCCCAACTTTCATGAAGTTCGAATGAAGGGGTGCCCACACGATTGTTAACAAAATAGGAGTCCCTTGACTATTGATAATCTCACAATTGTTTGGTCGATGCATTTGTTTGCTCGAGTTCGTGTTTTAGTTAAAATGGTGCAAGATTGCATTAAACTTAGTTCAAATGGTGCAAGATTCACATTGGAAGTATTTCATAACTAGAAGCCTTACGCTTATTCTTCCTACTCCACATTTGATCTTGAAAATGATTCATTTCCCTGTAAATAACCCCCTTGATCGATAAAATAATTACAAATTATTTTCCCAGAAGTTGAAAATTAAGAATTATAGGAGAGACAATTTTGCATCCGGTTGCTTTTACCACGCGGTTCCTTATAATATTAACATCGCTCACCCACCAATCCACCACATTCAAATATACCATATAACTCAATCATTATCAAGCCACTATTCCAAATGCTAATCATTACCGACCAAATCTAGAATCTACTAACTCCATCACCCTTAGAAAATAATTCTAAATATCCTCCAATTAGCAATCCCCTTCCCACTCATAATTTAATAGGCAGTTGTACTTCTAAATCCTTGTGATACAATAAGCCTTGGAGGCAATCCATTAATCCATATACTTAATGCCCTACTCAACCCATGCCTCTTTATATGTAAGGGGCCTATAAGGGGAGGGTTATATCTCAAAATGTAGACATCTTGATTTAAAATATCATATTGATATATTTAGCATGTTGGATACTAAAATTATTGAGGAAAAATTGCAAGATCCCTTTTTTTTTTTGTGAATAGCTATCATTTTATAAGATTAAGGATAAACTTGAATTGAATTTCTCTCTTCTTGAAAGCATTCCACTTGATATATCTCTTTTTACATATGTCAAAAATATTCAACAATATATTTTGAAGGCCTTAAATTATGAAATCATTTGGGCTAATCAAAGAGTGAAAATTAATTAGCTTACTAAGGTTGAGGATGATTTGGATCTTCATTATCAAAGTATCAAAGGAGAAACCATAATTTGATTAAGAAAAAATATAGTGAAACATTTAGCAGTATTCTTGCAAGTCCTCAAGACATTGCAAATGAGGTCATATATCACTTCAATGTTATCAATAATCATAAAAAACAATTTTTGTCATTGTAGTAAGATTACTAGCTGAATTGTTAGGTTAACTCTTCTTATAAACTCTCATTGCTCCTTTTACTAACTTGAAAATCATGAAGATAACTTTTAATATTAGTGTGAACAATGCTCTTGGACTTAATAACTTCAATTATAAACTCCTTATGGTTATATTACATACTATTAGGAAACAAATCTTTTGTGTTGCGTTTTGTTTTTTCTTCAGTTCTTACTCCATCCCAAATTTATGGAGTTTTTTGCTATTGCTTTAGTCCCCCCCCCCCCCCCCCCCGCCCCCCCCCCCCCCCCCCCCAAGTTCTAATTTTCTATCTAGCTTTAGGCCTATTTATTTGTGTTATACCTTCTATAAAGTTATTACAAAACTCATTACTGATAGATGTAACTATGTCCTCCATTAAATTATTTATCAAACTCAGCCTGCTTTCATAAATGATAAATATATCTTAAATAATATAATTCATGTCAATATTGTTTTAATAATTCTTTCACTACCAAAAGTCATCCGATCTTAAGTCCAAATGAGACCAAATTAGATTGAAAAATTATTTTCTTGCAAATTTTTCTACATAAAAACTATGGTTTCACTTATATATTTTTTCTTTTATCTAATGCATATACCAGATCTTTGTGCAATGCTTAGACATAAATCTCTTTCCATCACTATAATTTTTCTAACATATAACAGTTTGACGTCACCTATAAGAAACATGCCCATTTTTTTGCAAGCGCTGGTCAAATGCCTAACATGTATAATGCCCAAAATAATGGTGTTTCCCACTTTAAAACTTACCAATATGGAGACCAATCCCTTAATCGAAGTCAACATAGTCTAGTTGGTAGAGATCATCAAGGTCTTAATTTCGAGGATCACCTTCATGTGGTTGATGAATAACAAGCTCAAATCATTCTATTCTTACAAGAATCTACTCAACAAATAATACCATCAAAATATAAAGTTTGTCACCCTCATAATCAACATGTAAGGGATGAGGGGCTCCTTACACACCTAGGCTATTATTTACAAGAGTAATTTATGAATTGTTGGGCTCAAAATAAAGAAAATTAGAAGAATAATGAAAAGAAAATTGTTGAAATTATTGATACTATTAGAATAATGCAACAAAAATCCATCTTCATACACAAGGTGTGTCCAAGAAAAATAAAATTAGTTTTGAGAATTAGAAATGTCTTTTCTATATCAAGATGCTCTAATCATCTAAGTTAAAATTAGTACATCTATTATCAATACTATAAAGACTTTGGTTGATATATATAGTTTGTTAGATTTTCTATACATAATTGCCTTCATGAATCTTAGCCTAACCTTTGCTAAACTCCAACCTTACCCTTATAATATTCGCAATTTTGGAGGAAACACTACAAAGGTTTGTGGCATATTCACTCTACTAATCACCTTGGGGCAACCAACTTTGCAGTCAACTATTCTGAAGCAATTCATGGTAGTTGATAATAGCTCAAGCTATGATACAATATTTGGTTAATCTCTATTATATAGTTTTATCCATTTCCCACTTCAAGGTTAAATTTCTTACACCTAGGGGTAATAAGAGAAATAAGAGAAGATCAATAGTTAGGTTGCACATCCTATCTCCAACAAATCCAATAAAAGATTCTATCATTGAATGAGCACCAAAAAATTGAGCCCTTCCTCTAATTTTTATCTCATAAGGATATATTTTTTCTCTTAGAGATAACTAAATATCTACAATTTTCAAGTTTCTACTAAATTATTATGTATATCATGCTTGATAGTAATGAAGCTTTTTTTAAAATAATATTGCTTTTTTATCTTTTGAACTAAAAAAGATCTCATGAGGAAGACATGATTTCTACTCTAAATCCCTAGAAGGTATGCTTATAAGGAAGCCTCCATTAAAAGCTAGAAGTAGATAGTGTACTCACTAGAAAGTCTCTATCATAGCAACTAGTTGATACGATCTCTACACACCAAAATCTCAAAAGGCTAAAACCTCAAAAGATATAGGCTATTCAAAAATCTTAGAGGATAAACCTTAAAAGAGATGAATTCTCTAAAAAATCAAAGAAGCCCAAAGCCTCAAAAGATACAAGTTATTCAAAAATATCAAAATGCATAAATCTCAGAAGTAACAATTTTTCAAAAATATAAGAAAACATAGGCTCAGAATATATGAATTCTCCAAAAAAAAAAAAAAGAAGACTAAAGCCTCATAAAGTATATATTATCTAGAAAATCTCAAAAGATATAAGCATTAGAAGATATATTTTCTCTTAAAAATCTTAGAAGATTAAAAAATCAGAAGGATAACTTATTTGCTAATTTTAAAATCTAAAGAAGTCATAGGACAAAAAAGAATTAAAATTTTTATTCATCCAAAACCCTCAGAGGGCATAAACCTTGGAAGATATGCTCTCGCTACATCACAGACACAAATGAATTCAAAAGTTTTGAAAGGTGCACAAAGTTGGACAAAGTTTTTAAGAATCAAGAGAAACTAATATGTTCTCACTAGAGGGCAATATCTTTTTGTTGTTGACTCAAAGATTCAAATATGATATGGTGTGTTTTGCATTATTTTCTTTCAATTAGTGTTAGATATTCGTGCAATGCTAACACGTAAAATTCTCAATCGTCACAAAATTTATAGTACACAACAATAATAATACAAAACAAAGCATTTGAACAAACACCTTACAAGTTTGAACCTATAAAATAAAGATCTTGCTCTTGTTAAGAGAATTATCCCATATAGAAGAGAAAATCATGAGTAAACAAAACAAATCAATCATTTCTTAAAAGGAGCTTAACTTGCTGTTTATTACTATTGATTATCTCACAGGGGCTTTATGTGTTCTAGTGTTTGGGTGAATAGTTGGAAGTCCTTATTTATTTATCCCCAGCTTTTGTTTGCACAAATAAAAATAAAAAAAACATGCTACAATTTTTGGACAAAACACTAATATTATATAATAGTATATTGAAAACCAATCGCACAGAGTTCTTCATCATCATAATGTCATCAAAATTAAACTGAACGCGGTTATAAATACTTATTAGGTTATTTGGTTCTTTTATTATTACGAAAAACCTCTTGATTTTAGTTGATCTAAAAATCACCTATAGTAGGTTTCTTGGTTGATCAAATAGAGCTTTATAGGTCATCTGACGAAGAAACTGTTCTGATTAGTCGACCAAAAAATATCTTAACTTTGATTGATAAAAAAACCTATTCTAGGTTTCTTGGTAGACCAACGATTGCGATAATAAAGTAATATTGTGCAATATCATTTCATTCAGACAATAGTCATTCTTGTAATGATCACCACAAAATTTTAAATTCTCTTCATAGATATAACCAATGCAACTTCAATGCTTAAAAAATTATTGTAATATTCACATAATATCATAATTTTATGAATAAATTAAAAAAACGTATGCTCAAATTCAATTCAAAACACAAGAACGCCTCCGAATAAGTCCAATTCTGAAACCCTAACACAGGTCGGACAGAGGCCGTAACAAGTAAAAAACTTACCCGGCCGGGAGATCACGATCGCATCGGAGTTCATCAGCACCATCAACACGGACGCCAGCCCGCTCCACAGAGTAAAACAGGGAAGCGATCGGCCGTCGGTAATGGTGAGGCAATGAGAGGGGCTCTTGGTTGCCGTCTTCAAGGTGGAGGCGGACGTCGGAGACGCCGATCTGGCGGAGGCGAACGGCGAGCTTCTCTCCGACGCGTGCAGCGACCCGTTCGTCCCAGAAGCGTCGGGAGTGCGGATGGCGATAGATCCTGGCGCGGGTCGCGGCAGCGAATTCCTGTTCACCTGAAGACGCCATTGCGACAATTGTATCCGTCGCGCCGTTCGTGACTTGTGCCGTTAGCTTCCGGCAGCTTATCACCAGCCGGAGAAGATGCGCTTCCGCCGTCGCCATGGATGGCTATTGTGAGAGCGTGGGTCTCGAAGCCATGGACTTCACTGTTTAGAAGAGCGGACGGCGTTGATTAAGGCTTGTAGGTTCAATCAGACGACTGGAAAGTGGAAACCAATAGCCAAGACCTAAATTGGATTTTTATTTATTTAAAAATCATATAAAATATAGGCCATATGATAAAAATTTATAATACTTTTAATATAAATATATAATAAAAAACTTTTAAATATAAAATATTTATGCCACATGAACCGTCTCTACATTATCTCCAACCAAAAAGTTCATTTTTCATATCAAAATACAGTAATATTTCAAAATGCTGTAATTCATCTTCAATCTAACTCTATTTCTAACACTAAAAAAAAAAAATTTCCACACATATTCTTTCTCAACCGAACTCTGCAAGCGCTAGCCTTTCTCCACCTCAGTTTTCTCTTTTACCATTAAAAAAAAGAGTTTGTGAACATTACGACGGTAACATTGGCGTCACACTGACCATGAACACAAGAATATAGCGCATTTTTTCATTCGATTGGAGCAGTTTTGTGAGTTTGTTGTGAGAGTTTGCCTAGGATGTTCATTGAAGTTATTACGCAACATAGCTCACCTTGGCATGTTGGTTAAAAGTTTAAGCTTTTAACTAAAAGGTCTTAGGTTCAAATCTTTGTGTATGTGTTGTATGTGTGTACGAGTTTGTCTTAAATTGCCTAAATGTCAAAAAAAAAAAAAACGCAATGAAGGTTCGCTTGAGGTATCAAAGATATCAGGTATTTTGCGATAGGAGTTCACCTAGTGCATCTATTTCATGACTGAAGTTTGCCAAAATTCAAAACATTCTATTAGATGGCTCGTATGAATTTACTTGATCAAAGATTGTTCTTTTAGAATTTAAATTTCTTGATAATATTAATATTAGATGGTTGTGATCTGGTTGAATTCGTATGCTAGATTTAGAGATCATTTGAACCTGTAATTAATGCTTTGAGATTTTTGGTTATGATTAAAGTGCTTGATTTGAATTTATTTGGAGTCGGATTGGATTATTTTTTATGTCAATGGCTTAATCAGAAATTCATATAACAATTATCATTCAAACATAATTATTTTTTTAATTATTTTTTTCTAATACAAAAACAGTAAAAAAAACTATCACAAATAATATCTTAAGATCCGTTCAAATAATATCATAAAATATGTTTGGTAGGGGATGTCAAAATGAGTTTTCGAATCGAATTTGAGTCCAATCTGAAACTGACCCACCTCCAACTGTTCCAATTCAAACCCAACCCGACTAAGCAAATGGGTCAGAAATTCAAACCCAAACCCGACTCATCGTATTTTCAGGTTGACCCGATCCAACCCTAAACTCGTGGATGCACGCGAGCCGTGGGATTTAGCGCGAGCGCGGGTGCAAGGCCAAGAGCGCGGGTGAGGCAAGCAAGCATGTGATTGCCGGTGCAAGGTTGAGAGCATGAGAGCATGGGTGAGGTAGGCTATTATAGGATGCAGGGGCAGGGTTGCAATGCGGTGCATTACAAGGACCCGAATCAATTCTGGGTTGATTTAAGGTTTTCAGATTGGCTTGAAAACAACCCGAATTTACAATCGGGTCAAGATGTGAAACTCAAACCTAACCCATTTCCCAAATATGTTGATCCTAACCCAAAATTTTGAGGTCGAATTTTCAAATCATGTCAAATAAACCCTGCCCCTACACTATTTGAGATAACTAAGGTGGTGTAACTATTATGGAAAACATAACTTTTTAAATATTACTATAAAAAATGACTTCCCAACAAAAAAAAAAAAAAATTTGAAAGCAAAAAAAGTAAACTTTGTGGATGAGTTTACACGAAGTGCTCTAAATAGAAGACTAAGATTTCATTTGAGATAGCTTTCTTGCTGCTTTATAAACAATTTTTTGTACTAATTTTTTTTTTCCTTAAAACAGTAAGAAAATTCTCACAAACGAAACCTAAGCTAGCGTTCCACAGGTCTAGCAACTCGCAAAAGATCCCACAAATCAATCAAAAAAGCTAATTAACTAATAAATAATTGAAATAGGGAGGCAATTACCCATGAATAAACCAAGCCTAATACTTCAATAAACAAATGAACTAAGTAAGATCCATACGGCAACTTTGTTAATCATAGACATACTTTGAGCATGTAAACAAGAAATCCATCTACTAAACATCTCTTACACTTTTTCTTATCATCCATAAATATATCTCATAGTTACCAATCATTTTCTACTAGCCTTCATACTATTTCAATGTGAAGAATGCCTTCAAGTGTAATGATTTAGAGGATGAATTGCACATAGAGATCCCACCAACATTTGTCTTAAATATAGAGAAAAATACTTATAAACTAGAAAAAAGGTATTATATGGCTTCAACAATTCTCCAATGATATGGTTTGGAAGGTTCTCGAAGACAAAGCTCTACATGGGATTCAAATAAAAGCCATAGAGGTAATACATTATGTCATTATTTGTGAAAACATAGCTTTAGGGAGAGTCTCTGCAATGCTAGTTTCAACATCATTCTAACAATAAGTAACTGGGAAGGAATGAAGACTTTATAGAAAATGCTACACCAAGAATTTGAAGTAAAAGAAGTCTTAATACAACAACAACGACAACAACAACGTCAAGCCTTTATCCCACTATGTGAGGTCAGCTACATGAATCCTTTTTCTCCATTATGCACTGTTAAAAGTTAAATTATCATTTAAATCTAATAAAGAAAGGTCATTTCTAATATTTTCTAACCAGGTCTTTTTAGTTCTACCTCTTACCTTTCTTAACATAAGTCAAATCTAATACATCTACTTTCCTAAGCAGGTCATCAGAAGGTCGCCGTTTTATATGACCAAACCACCTAAGGCGACTCTCTATAATCTTATTTTCCATTGGAACTACACCAACCTTTTCACGTATATGCTCATGTATAAAAGAAGTCTTATATCATAACAAATCTAATAAAAGGAATACAGATAATTTGGAATGCAAGCCTGTTGAAGTCATATGAAATTTAATCATAAACTTGGATAGTTCAAGAGACCCAATAACACTTGTAGGAATGCTTATGCACTTATCATATATTAAACATGATATTTATAGTATTGGTGTAGCAAGTCAATTCATACAAAATCCTAAGGAATCACAACTTTGGTAGTTCAATGAATTTTACAATATCTAAAAAGAGCCCCAGCTAAAATGATTTTATTCAAAAAGGGAAGAATATAACACTTGAAGCTTACACAAATGTTAATTAAGCAGGGTCTATACTTAATCATAAACAGATGCAATAGGAAATCAACTTTAGGATAATTGCACATTCATAGCGAGAAACCCTGTGATTTGAATAAGTATGTGCTAATATGATCCTTCATAGAAGCTAAATTTAGACTTGCGATTAGAAATATGCAAATTACTATAGCAAAATTTTATCCTAAAAGAATTAAAAGATAAATGAAAATATCATATGAGTCTTTATAGTGATATTGATAAGTCAACCATCAATATTGTACAGAACCCCATACAATATAATCATACTAAGCTTATTGAAGTTTCTATGAAAAAAAGATGTATAATGGTCTAATTTGTACTTCGATTGTCATCAAAAGTGAATAATTGCAGACATTCTCACTAAAGGAATGCTGAGGAAAGTCTTTCAAATGTTGTCAAGGATGCGATTCTCCTAAATTTGCATAAATTCAACAAAAATGATGAAATGATATACAACTAATGTTTCCAATTCTTGTCAAAATCTACCCCTTCTTTGTGTGTCATTTTGCACATATTTTGGTCATGTTGCATTTATACTACCTCTCTTCCTTCATATTTTTTTCACATTAAGTACATTAACATATTTTTTTTGCTTATATTGCACTATGGTGACCTAACTATAAACTAAGATTAAAAATAGGTCTAAGATGCCCTAAACAATTTGAAAGATAATGAAGTTCTTACTGAGAAAATTCTAATAAATATCATGAGAAGAAACAAAGTGAAAACAAGTTCTTCAAACCCTAGAGAAAGAGAAACCTAAATATTAAAAGGCAACGAAAGAAAGAAAAGAAAGCTTACAACAACAACATCAAGTCTTTATCCCACTATGTGGGGTCGGCTACATTAATCATTTTTTCTCCATTGTGTCCTATTAAAGGTCAAATTCTCGTTTAAATCTAATAAAGAAAGGTCATTCCTAATATTTTCTGACCAGGTCTTTTTAGGTCTGCCTCTACCTTTCTTAACATAAGTCAAATCTAATACCTCTACTCTCCTAACCGGGTCTTTGGAAGGCCGCCGTTTTATGTGAAAATAAAAGAAAGCTTGAAATAGCAAAATCCAGGCCATAGCAGTGTTTTTATCAGAAAAGTCATCAGTAAGCTGATGTGATTTCTACTAGATAAAGAAATAATATGCAGTATCAAATAAACTAACATATGAATATTTAAGCTGAAAGGTATAAAATACGTCAATAAGATGGGTAGATGATTAGATTAGGAAGAAAAATAAATACACTTAAAATAACAATAGTTAAAAAGACTCATAAAGGCTAATGATGGTGACTATGATGAGGATGCAACCATAGTGGAAAGAAGCTTCTCATTAACAATAGAAAGAGAAGCCAAAAAAGATAGAGAAAGCATATGTCAAGCATCTAGTCATTAAAACTAAATATGGATATGTAAGCCCTTAAAACTGCCCATTATAATTTCATGAAATAGCTTACTGCTATATTAGATACCTTTACTTTTCATAGACTTTCACAAATGAATTTCATCAGAAAATTCGTACAAAAAGGATATTATTTCCACTAGATAAAAGTAACATATCCATTTTCAATTAACTAACATGCTAATTGATGCCAGACAGTTTAAGATCTAAGGTTTTTTAATATACTAGTGACATAATGCACGGGATGAATACATGTTGGAAAATTAAAAAAATAAAAATTCACAAGCGACCAAATAATTCAGCCATTTTCTTTCTTTAAATGTAAGCAAGCAACACTGAATAAGAATCCAATTGATTAAAAAATGATTGAAATAATCCCAAAAAGTTAATTAAGATTTAGAAC